ATTGATGATGAATGATGTTTGCATTTTCAAAACATTGTTTTGTTGTTAATGTCTGTTCAATTATATCAAAATATGGAAATAGAAACATTCTTTGAAAGCGATGCTAATTGACATTCCAATCTCTGATACCGAATTCACTGGGCATTATCACATGGCCATCTTGATGCTAATCACGTACGAGCCTAGGTAAGCAAGCCACGGATCCATGGTATTTGAGATCTTGCAATACACTGAGTGCAGAACCGCATCTCAGAGTTGAGCTGAACAAGGAGGCGTTCCAGCACCAATAAAATCTCCACTGTCCATAGGCCGATATACAGACAAAGAGAGAGATAGTCGTTGATTTAGCTGGCACTCGAACCCGCCCTTGATCTGCTCAACTTATGGATACGGTTCTTCTTAGAATGTAACGCATGTGCTTGAACACAAGGGAACCGTAGCCCGCCTAACGAGACTTCCTAGACGAGTAGAAGCATGAGGGCGGTGTGCTAGAGTAAATCCAGTATCAAGAACGGAAGTGTCATAATTAACGGCGAAATTGGAAAGCTACTATGGTGTAGCTAGTCCTGAACAACAGGGTTATGTTCTGTCGATGCTAATTCTATGTGAACTGCTGGACCAGTAACAGGCTCTTTGATATCAATATGTAGCTGAAAAAAATCAAACAAAAGAATTTGACAGGTTTCTGATGTTTTGGACAGTGCTGATATTGTCTCGTTTTTCGATCAAACTTTGAAACCTGCTGAGCCATACATTTTTTAGTTCAATAAAGCAATAAAATGATCATTTAGAAAAATATGACCTGTTTTTTCCTCATTGAACGAACGTGTGACATACAAATACGTTAGGCGTATACAGTATGATTCTTGGGACGTTTAGCACTGTGATTCACAAGGTAAGTCAGAGCAGTATCCATTTTTGCAGTCTTCTGCAAGTAGACAAACAGAAAAATATAAGCCCATGAAATTTCAGCTGTCGTTGAAGAGTCTTCGAATAGTTTCTGGTGCGAAATCTTTGTGTGTTTTCGTATTTGATTTCTTTGCTGCTATTAACGGTTTTCGGCACTGAAAGACTTCATCTTTAACCGGATCGCGGCACACCCTGGAATGGACTTGGCTCCTCAGAAATGGTGAGTTTAAACTAGATTCAAACAAAGCAAGGAGCAATGAACACTTCCTTACCGTAAGAAGATGAAGCTTAGCCCAGAAGGTGAATATGACGATGAAGATTAGACAATGCAGCATAATATTCCTGATGCCACAGAGTTTTTGTGAAAGTTCGACATCAGCGCAACTGATGCTCAGAATGCTACAGCGGCCTCCGTTTATTGACTTCGATATCTGGCTATTCAAATATGAAGTTGAAGTCACATCCCCGGTCATACGACAGAAGAGGCACCGAAAAAGGCAAATGGTCATACTGTACAGCCGTGATCTCCAGCAGACTCCGATTAGAAGAACAGTTCGACAGTTAATACGATCTCTGGAATGAGGAGTAACATATACTGCACAGGTTTTGCATAACCTTACATCGTTTTTACTTTTTACCTACCTGCCGAGGACCACTATCCATTAGCTAATTAGGCAGTGGATAGAAATTAAATATTTAATTACTTGCAGAACTGCTACTACTCAGTAAAATGTATACTATTTAAATGATATGAAATTAATGTAGTTTTCTTTAGCGACGGCGATTATTGCGAGTTCGACCATAGATTTTTGCATTGATTAAAACATATGACTTATTTAAAATAGCATAAAAAGGAAGCCAGTTTCCGTTAAGAATAAAGCTGTTATGGTTTTCTAAAGGAAATCGTTTTTGTTGTTTATTCCTGACAATGTTGATTTAATTTTCCATGACCTTAGTTATTAACAAACGAAATTTTCGACATTTCGCACCTAATGCCGACTGGTAGAAGATGTGTCTAATCGATTACCGACTACTGTCTAACTATTTATCTGAGTTCACGTGGTTGAGGTCTGCCGATACTCTTCTGAACTGCGGTTGAATTGCAGACCGCATCCTTTGCTTCAACGCACAACGACGGTTAAATGGCAGGACGACGTGAAGAAACTCGATTTTCCTCCCGGCTTAAGCAACCTTAGTAGACTTAGTAACAATTAGCAAAAGGAGGTTATCCCCCTGTTAGACAACGTGGTTAAGCGTAACCTCTGTACTGCAGTTTGTGAGCACTCAAATAGGATATATATCAGCATAGCAGACGTCTATCTAAAGGGTAGCACACAACCTCGACGAATAAGATAGAGTGAGGTTTTCAAGGAAGACATTTCCTTCCACGATGAAGCCTTATAGCACAACTGTTGAATAACTGCGAATATAGCGACCATCACAAACCAGAGGTGTTGATCTCCATAAACACAACACACCTCTAAACTGCTTAAGCCCATTTCAAAGTGTGAGCCTGTAGATGTTGTATTCCTCGTCCTATTTATGAATTCATGTTTTTAACGATGTTTGCTTACTTGTCGACCTTGACAGCTGCTGGCAACTTAACAGCGGCCGTAGCTCCTTTCGCTTTTCGCCTTCCTAAATCCCATGAATAGCAGCAGACAAACAAAATATGGAGTCACATATGGATCATCATGTCAGAAACATTTCAACTGTTCTTAATTGCCAGACGAAATTTTTTGAACCTGTATTTTTCGGATGTTTTCATTTCAGAGTGATAGGTGAATGATTTTTTTGCCCCCTGTCAACGCTGAAAGTCAATCACAGAATGGTTCCGAAAAGCGGAGTTTCCCTAGTATTGAGTTTGTGCTTTGAGTGAGCTAGTAAACCAACAACAAGCAAGTGTTGGA